TTCCTTCCCTGAGCTTTCTGTGTTCTTAATAGTTGGTATCTTGGAATTCAAACTTTCACAAGTTGCCCTGCTTTACATCCCTTGAAATTAATGGAGATATTTGAGTTTAAAATGATGTGAGTGATACTAGCTCTTGTCCTGTGAAGAATAACCTAGATCTGGACAGGGCAGCAACAATGGTCTGTCTTATGTTCACAGCGGAACTAAACTTACATTTTTTCAAGAGTCTCATTCTAGGTAACATCTGGGGAAAGTTGTTAAAATTATGTTCATTTGGTTGTGGTGGATCCTGTTAGCGCTAACCTTGTGTCGTGGATGATACTGCTGGTCAATGACTCCTTTCTCCTTCCTACTTTGTTTTGCCTGCCAAGCAATGGAAACCATGTAACAATTGGAAAAACGTCTGTTAATGTCTCACAACCTATTCAGGAGATGTCCCTGAAGAAACTACATGGCAGATCTTATACAGTGCACTGATGTGGTCTCAGATCTTTGTGTCTCTTTCTGAACCATCTTCTTGTATGCATGTGGAATTCACAATGAAGACCTAATGGTGGAAGAACTGAATAATGGCTTTGTTTTTCACTTGGTGAGTAAAGGTCGTTTAGCAGAAGTCCCCTCCCTTGTCCATGCCCCGTCCTGCAAAACTTTTAAGTAAATATACAATACGTTTGTATTTTTAGGGCGCAATAATTGTATTTGTTGAAGCTTATTCATACTGAAGTTACATGACAATATTAGTAGTTGGCAGCTTCTTTGGGGGAGAAAAGAGCACAAATAAATGTAATATAATTTGTATTAAAAGAATTTTCTGAAACAAACTCACAAATACCAGAACATTCCTACTTTACGATAAAGGTTTGGAATTCAGGCACAGAGAATCTTACTCTGCTAATAAAACAGTGGAGTATTCATTAATACTTTTAATTTTCCCATCTTCTGCACTCTGGAGTAGCCTCACAATCTGACCTTCTTTGATATTGCAGTTGTGTCCATATCATCGTTTCCCGTTATTGATGCAAGAGATAACTGTATCCCCTGATAATCTGTGATAAAAGAAAATCAAATATTGTGCCATAAACAAAAACAACAAACACTAATGAGCTACGAGCCATATGATGAGCTTTACTTTTAGATTATGTCTGTGTTAGTTTGCTACTTGCTGAGACAGTTTAACCTGAGCTACAGCTCACTCTTTTCCTTCTGTATAGTGTAGTTGAGGCTTGACCCAAGCCTGCTAAAAATCAATAGGAATATTTCTATTAATTCTGCTTATCTTCAGGCTGCAGAACTGAGCTGTGAATTTTTGTGCTTCTCAGTCTAAAATCTGATGGATCATGCCGAGTTGCCCAATGGTGAGACTTAAAAAGGTACTCTCACATAAAGGCTCCTTGGCTGCAGTTTGGCTACAACTTCCCTGAAAGCAGTTATGGATGTTTTTGGTACTGAGTCTCAAATACAGTTGTTTGTGCAAGTTTAACAATTAACAAAAGGAGAAGGGCGAGGAGAGGAAAGCTTGCTGTAAATAGGCCCGAATCCATCTCCATTCTTCCCAACCCGAATCCATCTCCGTTCTTCCCAACCCATGATACTACTATTGATGCCCATTTTCAAAAGAATCTTCTTAATTACGAGAGCTGATTTCATTGCCAAAAATGTATTTGTAGATAGTGTGCCAACAAACCACTGTGAGACTGGCTCCTCATGTCTCTGTACACAGCAAAGTGATATTGGTGTTTGGAAAATGCACTAGCGAGTTTCTGGGCTGGCAGCATCTGGCAGCATTTGGTTTGCTCTGCGGGCCGGGTACATAGAGCTCCTGTGCTGGGCATCTGGTGGAACCTGTTCTAACTGTACTGCGAAAGAGGAGACTTTTCTAGTGTTTGTCCTTTATATTAGGCTGATATGGCAGATTTGCTTTTCTAGCTTTATTAAGCTTACATTTATCATATTTTTAACCTATGAACCTTATTGGGGATGTAAATAGGGCAACTTCATACATCTTGACAACTTTGCTGGAGTTAATGTGGAAGAAAGAGCAACCTTCTTTTGCTCTGTATAAAATGTTTAGTGCAAAACATTCCAGATAAAGTGTTTAGTATAAGGGATTTTTGCCCATGCCTAGGCTTGCTAAGAATGGCAGTACTAATAACTTATTTCTTGGTTTTAAGATTGCTTTTATATAACCAAATTTATAACATGGGATTCTTTAGATGCCTTTGACATTAGCAACTGCACAGCTGAAAGCACAAGTGTTCCAAGTAAGATACCTGTTGCCAGTCCATGGAATACCCCTAACTGATAAGCTAGCACAGCTCTGCAGGCAAGGGCCCTCACTCTGTTGTGTCCCCTAGAAATAGTGCTTTCAGAAGCAGAGAAGGATAGCTGCTCAGAGTTACTTAGACGCTGACATCTTTCCCTGAAGGATCAGAAAAGGATGAGGGCCACAGTGCAGTACTTTTTGGAATGACCTTGGTAAAAAATGGCACCAAGTTTTTTGGCACACATTGAAGGGAAGATGGGCACCTGCAACTTACACCAGTTAATGCCTAAGAGCTGTGGAGATACCCATGAAGCATTGGAGGGGCTTTTGTTCTTTCTGAATATCAGACTCTTTCTCTGCTGGTTTTACATATCATGTAAAGTAAACCACTCTGCTAATAGAATTCAGAGAAAGCTTTACTCTCTGCCTATTGTAATATTTGTAAGTAAAATTGTATTAATAGATCTGCAGTTTTTTTTTTATGGCAAAGTTTGTATCTGCATACATGAGTGTGTGTGAAATTTACTCTCTGCTGTGGTGACACTTGCTAATTCAGTGGTGGATGGGAAACTATTGCCCAAAGTGGGAAATGAGATTTTAACCATCAAAAACATAGGGACTAAGATGCTTGGTGAAAAGATTGGCAGTATTCAAAAAAATTGCTTGGATAGTCAGACCAACACATCTTCACATTTGAACTATGTCTGAGTTTGGACTTGAGTCCTTGGAGGTGAAAAGCTCATCCATTAAGTCACAACACTGCCTGCTTTTCCCTTTGCCCACAGGCTGCTCTGTGAAGAGCTGCTGCAGCATGAAAGGCCAAAGGGAAGGGCCTCAATTTTGCCCTAGTCCTTTCACACCTTTGTGTTACTGGCACGTACACAAGCATATGGTAAACTGCGGGCTCTTCACAGTGCAGAACAAGCTGTGCAGCTGACTTTAACTCAAACATGAGCCCTCTCAGTCCTAAATTATTTTCATCCAATCAATCATCCTTATAAAGGGCTTTAAAGAGGCAGCAAAATGGAAAGAATGGTTGCCAAGCAGAGGATGCAAGACACAAATAAAGCTGCAAAGATGAAATGAAGTATGAATGAATAATGATTTATTCCAAATGCCACTGGGATTACTATGTGAATGAATTGGAAAGATACTCAGGTGCAGTAAGCTTTGTCAACTTTCCCCTGAATGATTTTCATAGCCTCAGTAGCGGTGAAGGGAAAGTAAAGCTGCCTTAAGTACATAAGGAGGATACACAAGAGTTTTGAAATGCTCCAGAACCAATTCTCTCTAATTAATATATGATTTTCAAACCTTTTGTAAGTAGACAAGCACTAACAGCTGTTGTTCTTTTAATAGCTACCAAGTAATCTCTAGTACATGTTGGAGTTGAAGGATATAGAGAACAACATGCTGTGGATTCATTAGGCTTTTCTAGCCATGGAAGTATTCTTTTTATGTCTTCTAAAAGTGGAAGGGAATGCAGAAGAACACAGAGTACTGTCTTCAAGAGTACTAATTGGAAATGAAATTGAGAGGAGAAAAGGGGTTAGATCTAGTGACACATATCACACCCTAAGGCATCTTACTAACTCAGCATGTCTGAGCTTTGGCCTGTTTCCGTGAACAAAAGGTTCAGCCTATTCTATCCCTGTGAAATGGGCAGTAATAAAGCATCTATTTGCTAGCATTTGATTGCATTTTACACTGTTGTGGATGACCTTCATAACAAAGGATGAGGGAAAACTGCAGCTTCATGTTTTCAAATAATTTAAAAAACTAGACCGTAAGTCATAACAAAATTCCTCAGACTTGATGAGTATCTTTGAACGCAGTTCCTGTTGGAAGATGATATGTTTTTCCCCTCCTTATTGCTAACTGAATACATAATCAGTTTAATATTATCTTCTGTCTGAAGACAATAACTGGTTGCGATAGGTAAAGGCCAGAGTTGTATTAGCTCTTTATCTTCTCTAATGCCTGTGATTTTATGTACATGGAAACATCCTGGATTTTGAATAATTTGGGTTTTTGGGCATTTTATTACCTGCCTGAAGTGCTTTACTCATGATTCCAAATTTGGTTGTTGTGGAAGTCATCATCTGTTCGATTTTTGGATTTAATAGCCCTGTTTAGAAACTTATCTCAAAAGTTCGCTTCAAGTAAGTGCACCAAACTTCTGCTCAAGTGCACTGCCTTTCAACCATACTGTATAAGGAAATGAGGGAAAAGATGTTAATGAGAGAAGGGAACGCTGAGTAGGTGATGAAGTTTTCGTTTGCTAGAGGAACTTTACAATAATGAGGAAAACATTTGCAGGAAGATATTTTTTTTCTCCAGAAGTCTTTCAGCTTTATATCTGTAGTAACTATGAAATTAAGATACATTTTATTGAAAATGGTCAGTCTTGAATCTCACATTTCTCCTTCTTCTTAGGTTAATCCTAAGATGCTTGTAGGTAACATCTATACATTGGTGGCATATACCTGAGCAGAGGAAAATCCAACTGAAAGAAATTATTTTGAGCTGCATAAAGAAGAAATAATAAAATTGTGATGTGACTCAGATCAAGAAATGAACCACTGGAAAAAGCTCTCATGCTGAACAGTTGACTCCTCTTGGTTTCATCTTTGCATGCCCCATGTTGTGTCTCTTTTGGAGGATATGAGAACATTGAAAGGTTTTCTGGATTCAGCTGATCCGTGGTTATTCCAGAGCATAAACTGATACTCTGGTTTTCACCATCCACTTAGCTATTGGAGTGGCTTTTCTGCCTGTGACTCTTGATCTTAGGGTACAGGAAACCAGAGCTGCGTTCAGAAGGTGCCTCTACTCCTTGGACATTGCTGTATGTTATTATAATGCTGGGTATCTGGGCTGCAGATGGTGTCTGGTGAGAATCTCCTTTTAGTCCAGTACCATTCAGGCTTTCGCTTGTCTGAAGCAAGAAAGGATTTAAGAGAAATAGAAAACACAGAACAAGGAGATTAGGTTGCACCATCTATGAAAAAGTAACATATGTTTAGATGAACATTTTGCCCATCCTAACTACTGACAATCCTAGCTGCTCATTCAAAGCCAGGCTTTTCCTCCAACGGATGGAAGAAGAGGTAGATCTGAACACTTTCGGGATGTTTCATAAGTGAAAACTTTCCCTTTTGAGAAAATTTATTGTTAAAGAGGTTAATATATTAAAGCATAGGATTTTGTTTTTGCTACTTCAGAATCTGTTCTACTATGGTAAAACACCAGGTTAATGACAGCACATCCACCATGAACAAAAGTGCTGAGAATGTGCTGAAAGAGCCTAATGAATTCAGTGAAAAAGTTCCGACATAATGAAATAGAAGTGAGATGACACCTTTTTAGGTTCATTGTAGCATGGAAATTTTGAAAGAAGAGCAAAGTGGAGAAAAGAGTAAAAACATGAACCAAAGGGAAGGTTAATTAGCTTATTTTGATAGTAGCAATGCTAGCTGTGACTTGCACAGGACTGAAAAAAAAATAGAGTATTAGGATGATGCTAGCAATAGCTTATAATAGCATTACTAGCTTTTACTAGCTCTACTAACAGTGCAGTAGTAGTTTAACATGTTTGTATTACATTGTGATTAATACTGTAAGATTAAACTTTCTAGCTCCCATTTTGCTTTCATTCAACAACTCTTTCCTCTTATTCCCTCATCTTTCAAAACTTTGGAGCGAGTTAACTCACTTTGGGAAGATGTCAGAAAAAAATCAAGAAAGAGGCACTGGGACAACACCCTACTGAATAAGTGCTCGGGCATGTTTCAAAAACTTACCTGTGTGTCCTGCAAGTTGCATGTTTTAGTTGGTTGCACTACCCAAACAGAGAATGAGAAACAGCGAACAGTATCAGTTTACAGAGTAATACTTTCCATAGGATGATGGCCCTTCCTCTGAAACAACCAGGCCTTTGGAAAGTATTCCTGAATGGCTTATCTTCCTCTGTATATTATTTATTTAGAGTATGGCACACAGTTAAGACTTCCATGCTCAACTAATGAAGTCACAGATCTCATCGGGGAACCTGCTGAATCCATGAAAATATTCAAGTTGGACTTTTAAGCCGGAGAACTGTGTAGCACGTATGTTTTCCAAAGTCTGATAGTTTCAGCAATGCATTCTACTACTTGTCGCATTTTTTTATATTCCTTTGGGAGTATCATTTTTGCACAACAAATGAGTTAATTTAAGGTCCAGTACTGGGAGAAAATATAATTAGATTTTATTTACTCTTAAGACCCATGACAAATAGTAAAATAACAATTCTTACAGCAGATGTAGCAGTGTACTCTGTGACATTCAGGTCCGCCATGGATATGTCAACAGAATCTACAAATGTCTGAAAAAAAAGCACAAGATAAATGACATACAGATATGTCACAACATCCTGCAAATTTGAAATACGAAGGGTAGGGAAGATAAAAGGGGCCAGCAGAGGCCTGAAATATAGCCATATACTGAAGGCACCTTTATTTTCTACCACTATATTTGTCCATTTAGGAAAAAATGGGACACAACAAAAAGATGGATCAAGTAATTTGTGTCACTGAATACAAACTTAAATAGAAGACATACCACCCAGATGCCAGGTTCAGTACAAGAACTCTTCTGCCTGTCGAAAACCAATAAAGACAACTGGACAATAAACCAACTGAGGGCAGCCTCAAAGTATTAATTCATAGTTTTTCCCCCATCTTCTAGGCAGAAACATTCATGTTAAAATGCACAGATCTGTTAACCAACCAGCAGTCTGAGAATTTAGATACTACACAATCTTATTACCTTCTCAAAAATCCCATATTTGTGGATTTTAGGTTTAGGATGAGCTCGTATGTCACTAGTTTCCTTTGTATTATTTCCCTTTTCATAGGTAACCCATCTGCTAGCAGGTCTGGAGATCATAGTGGTGATACCAGTTTCTGTATCAGTACAACCCTAAAATGAATACAACAAAAACATAGTTTGGTGACCACTCTTAACACAGAATACACAGCAGCATGTGTACTGCCTTTTTCCATTGTGAATGTGCCTGTAGAAAACTTAAAGCTTAGTTAATCTAAATACAGTGCAGAAACAAAAGAAATTATTGGAGAGTACTGAAGCAGATAACTTTGCTTGTCTGAGTGTTTTAAATTTGAGCCCTGTGTTTCAGCAGATCTGTTAGTACTTGCTAAGATCATCAGAGAATTCTATGGTAAACTCAAATAGTTAAGGAACATGCCTGCTGTCGTCACTCTGAGCAAGATCCAGGTTTACTTGTGCCTTACAAAATATTCCAGGATAAAGTCTGCTAATTGCTTGCTTTTTTGTTTTTGTTCAATTGTAAGAAAATTTGCTGTCAATTTCACTATTTTTCCTTGAGTATTAAGAGTTGTTTTCCTGGGCAAAGATAAGTGTTCCTCTCCCCTGCACTGATAGAAAGAAGTGACAGCATTACTGAAGAAATCTATTTTTAAAGAATTTTAATGTGTCAGCTGATAAATTATCTTAATGCAATTTTTTGTACTTCTAAGGACACAAAGTTATTTTGTGCCACAGTAAACAATTTCCAGACAGTTCTTTGTAATGAATCAGGTTTTGCAGGATTAAAATGTTTCTGGTTTAGTTGGCCGATTTTAAAGCATTCGGGCTGAATGGTGGCTATTATCCAGAAGAATTTCATTTTGATTGTACTCAAAGGCCAAAACATATAAAATATAAAGAAACAGAAACATTATTGTTGAAAACAACAGAATTCAGAGCTTGACTGCATCAGATACAATAATTAGCTTGTCTATGAAAAAAATCACAGAGAAATAATGACCTTTTCATCTATTTGGAAATGGTATTCAAAACAATTGCATAGAGGGCACTAATGTGCTTCTAGCAAGTGAGAGCGAGCCTGAGACTCCAAACACCTGACCTCTTTCCAGCTGCTATGCAGAATGCTTGGCTTCAGTTAGAGTGGCAGCAACGAGCTGTTGTTTTCTCCCCAAATGATTTTGTAATGGATTTCTTGATTTATCTGAATATGATGATTAATATTTTTTTCATGTACAGCCCACATCACCTCCAGAAGGCATTAGCTGTTTCCTTACAATCTGCTTCTAACTAAAGAACTATTTTGTTCACAGTTTCTTCTTCTTCTCTAGTCCAGACTTAAACCTGTGGTCAGACAAGCAACATCCTAGAAATACAGTCAGGTTTTGAAGGATACTCTGACTTCCTCAGTTTCCTAAATTTCTGCTATTCTTTCTTTCCATTCTTCCTTCAAAACCATAAAACGCCAAGAATAGAAGGACATACATTCTGCTTTTATACCTCAGCCTTCTTATATATCGCTTGTTCCCTCTGGAGCTCTTGTAATGAGCAGTATAATCATAATGCATTTTATCAAAATCAGCTACCACTTTGAAGGACTCCATGTGAAAATCAGTTACTCTGTAGTTAAAAATGCATGTATGGAAAGTGTCTTCCTTACAGATTCGTTGTCTGAAATGGAAGATAGTCGCCTTTTTCCTTTCTGAGGCCGGCTCGTCTCTGAAGTCTGGCTGGTGATGGTGGATCGTCTGGAGGATGGATACCTGCTGAAGGACTGGCAGCCTTCAGGAGAAACTCTCAGCAGGGATCCAAGGCAGGGAACGTGTGTTGCAATGGCTGTTCTAATGCAGGAGAAGTAGAACCAGTCAGGTTTTCTTCATTAGCGTAAAAATCGAGTCACCATAAGCAACGTGTTAATTGAGAAAGGGGGAAGAATGCTGAACACACTGAAAAGTTACTGGTGCAATAAAGAGTTTTCCAGATAAAGGGCATCTCACGTGCAATTACCTTGAAAGATCACCTATTCAGAGTGTTCTGTGGAATTTAAATTTATTGCTTTGCAGAGATAAGGACATCAAAATATAACTCTTCTAATATAAGGAGGCTATTAAAATGATTTTTATCTGCTTTCAGCTTAGTAAGTGCAAATATAAAATTCTGTCCCCTCAAATGAAACCTTGCGGAAGTACCACATAATGAATTATTTTAATCTTCCCCTAAGCAGCTGTCCTAGCTTGCTCTTGCACATCAGTCTGTTTGGTATCTTTACAGTTGTACAAAATATACAGTAATGTTACAGTATTCATTTCATCATATGCAGTGCAAGGAAACTCTTTTTCTCTCCCTTCCAGCCTTCTCCACTTACATTTGCCTGTTTTCTGCCCAGTTCCCCAGTGCGTCTTTGTAAAGGATGAGGCAACATTCTGTGTGGCTTTGCTTTGAGATCCCACATCCTGCATCTGCCCTTGTTGTAACAACTCAGAAGAAATACTAAATGAAATATGGAAACTTGAAGAAAAGTGGTGAAAACACAGAGTAGGGAAGAATTGGATTCTTTTCCTGAACTGCATCTCGCACAGGCCTCATTCGTTTAACAAACTGCTATTTGGAACACTAACAAATGTCATCTCCCATGGAGAAATTAAAAAAAGAACATGGTGCTTTGCTTTGAGATGGAGAAGGTGTCTATCTTTTATCAAGTGATCAGTAAGGACAGATGAGCATTTTCCAGCTCCCATCTGCACAATAGTTTGTTCCAAGTACAAACTTTACTGACATTTATATGACACTGAGAAGTTTTCTTGGGGAGGGAGAGACTGTCTTCCCAGTGAAGCAGAGTTCAGATAGTGTCTGTTGATCTCCACTGTATTAAACTTAGCTAAGAGCTAATAAGAGTAAACTTACCTGTATTTGGGGTGACCGATGGCATAAATGATGGGGTTGTGGATGGCAGAAGCTTTGGCAATCACAGCTGGTATGGAGTTCATGTAGGGTGTGAGGATGTGGGAATACCTAGATTAATGCAAATACATTATATTTAAACTTCTGGTAGTGAATTCTAGGTAGTCTGTGCACAGTTAAATACCAAAGTTTTATTGCTGTTCCAAAGAAAGTAAAAGAGGAGATTCTGAACCAAAACAGCAAGTGGGCAAATTTTACATTACTTGACCCGCAAAAATCAGACCCAGCCTAATTGCATTTCTGAGAAAAATGATCTTCTTTGTGCTTCTCTCAGGCTCTGATGTGCTTCTCTACTAGGACTCAAGATGCTGATAACGCCCTTGTTGTTTACCCTAGCTGTAAAAAAAGATGGGCCAGTTAGCCTGCAGTAAAGGAACACACATTTAGCAGAGTATCTCTTCCAAACTCAGCAGATGAACCTGCTGAATCAGGGTAACTTGATTCAGGTTCCATCCATTTCCTCAAAATAGAATTTAAAGCATATGCAGAATGCAGCATTATCAGGAAAGAGAAAACTGTAATATGAATAAATCCGTTTCCTTATTCAGACTTTATTTTTTTCTCTGGCCTGAACCAGAACTAAAATTAAGTGTCCTTGGGTTTCAGATGCTAGGCTCCTGTGTTACTGCGACACACATATATAGAGATGGATACATTGCTTATTGCAATACTAAATAAAGTTCAGGCTGTTCAAATACCCTTGCATAGAGAATTTGCCTTCAGAACTTATCAACACAGTTTCTTATGCTGCCAGTATAATCTTCCTGATATTTCTTTTTCTTTTTTTGTTTGTTTGACAAGTCTAGCTAAGGAAAAGATCATAGTCAGTGGGTGCCTCATTTGTTAAATGTTTCTCCTGAATATGTGTATGGTTTGAATGCACTTCAGGTTGACAGGTCACAGTTGCCTTTTATCCATGATACCATCCCTGTCAGACTTTGTGCTTTCACTGAATATTTCTTTCTTGATACATTTATAATTACCCAGCAAAAGCTACCAGAGCAACAACAGAGTATGGTGACCAGGAAATGACGTAAAGCAAGATGACAACCAGGGCAATTTTGGCCATCCTCCACTCAGTTTTCATCCTCTGATACTGTTTTTGGAACTCCCTATTTCCATGTTTGCATCCAAGTGTCTGAACAGACCTAGGAGAAATAAACATATTACAGTCAAAAGACAGATAGAGTTGATCAAATAACTTCATAAAACAGGGAAACAATTATACTTGCATTAGTTTATGCTAAAAGTCATATTTTTTAAATTTATGTTAGCTGTATGTGACCAATTCCTTGCAATTAAAATGTGCCTTTGTTGCACTCATTAATGGCAACATTCCTACTTGCCTCAGTGGAGAAAATAGTCCTGTACCAAAAGTTTTTCCAGATAAATCAGGTATTCAAGCTCACCACATGATAAAAAAGTAAATATCGTTGCAGAAGCCTTTGCTTTTCTGGGTCAGATTTTGGGTTCATTACTCTCACTGTGTAATTTCTTGATATGTGACGAGATATGATGAAGTCCGTGACATAGATCACAGATGCTGTGGCAGTCACTGGCCTTGGTTTTTACACTAGTAGTTTTTGTTTCAGAGCCTGCGATTAAATTTTTTGCCTTCATAAGCTCTTTGCCAAACATGGAATTGGCAGTTCAATCCCATCCATTTTCTTGTGGAATAGTTGTTGATACGCTGTGTTTCTTTGCTATTTTTTTGAGAGTTGGGTTAGTTTACATAACCCTTCCTCATCCTCTAGATTCCCCGGCTACTACTTGTACCATTTTGAATCACTAGTGAATACACTGAGTGGCTGTGGCTTAAATTCAGAACTCTGAATAATCCTTTAAAGGATCATACTGCTTGATATATTGATTACTGAGAGAATTCCTGTTTTTTTTTTTTTTTTTTTTAAATAAGCAGTTGCTTGAACTAAGGAATGAAAACCCAGGCTGTTGGCTACTTACTTGTTGGCTTTCTTGATAGCCTCAAAGATAAATATATAGCTGTATATGATAGCAATCAAAGGAATGAAAAAGACAAAGCAGAAAAGCAGCATTGTATAGGCACGGACTGATGGGGTGAAGGTTATGTAATCCCAGGAACAGGAGGTCAGCAGGCCCTCGGGAACATACGCACCTAGGCAGACAGACAGGAGAAGGGTTAGACCATGAGTGCTGCTTGTTAATGATTCTGAGGGCAGAACTTAAAGATATTCAGAATAATGAAGGCCTTAGTTCTATTCTCTTTGAGGAGAGAGTTTAAAAGGATATCCAACTCTTCTTTTAAACCACCTCTTTTTATTTTCTCTTATTCTCTTACCCTGTTACATTTAACTGAATCATCCTGTTTCAGTTCTGAAAAATGATACAAAGCTCAACGTAGACAAAAGGCACCTCCAGAGCTCCACTGTGTCTTCGATGAGACCCGTGTTGTTTTCACGTATTTCCATTTCCTCTCAAATTGCTGTCTTCCCCAGGAGTGAAATGAAACTGATTGCAGTAGCTACCTATTTTTAAGTTCTGCAGATAAGGGAAATTTATTGTGCAAAGAAGAGAGTTTTATTGTGTAGATCAAATTAATTTTGTCGTGAAATAAAGTACTTGTAAAAGAAATATCACACATACATAAGATTCTACCTGAAATATAATTTCATTAGAGAAACTGTGTGAAACTTAAGTAAGGAAATTGTCAACAGCAATGTGTTTTACCTTTGTGTATTTTAATTTTCACTCTTTACAATGATATTTTCTGTTATTTTCTGTATGTTCTGATATTTCCTATAACTCTTAAAAATACTGTACCAGATGTTCCCATATATATTTAATTATGTGAGTACTGCAGATACTATTAGAGTCTAATTATAAGATAAACTTAATACCCTTCAAGTAATTATTCTGCATTTTCATGTTAAGATCTGAGCATCCAAAACTATATGCCACAATTCTCTTCTTAAATCTCCTAATTAAACCGAAAGCTGCTTCTCCAGGTACCACAAATTGCCTGCTAAGCGTGTTTTAGGGGAGCCAGAACTACAATAACAAAACAGTAACAGAAAAATCTACTGAAATTCCACTCAGCAGCTGAGTTTGTTGCAACATCCTTTGGGAAAGTGCAAAATTGTCCCACCTCGGTTGAGCTCACACTCATTCTATTTTGAAATTAGAGAACACGATGGGCAGATCTAACTGACTTAGTTTCTGAAAACTGGTGACAAAGAAAACAAATTAATGGTACTGAGGCAGATTGAAATGGAGAAAGAATAACAGAAACTCTGTGTTTTAAGCAGTGAGGATCAAGATGCTCTATATGTGCTCCAGTTTCCATGCATAAAATTTATGTTTACAAAAGCAAATTAGTTACCTAGTTATTACTAAATGCCATCCTTAAAGGAAGCCTTAGTGAAGACACCAGTAGCTGTCTGGATGATGTGACCAACTCCTAGTGCAATTTGCCCTTCTAGAATACAGTCAAGACACACTGAAGATGTACTTGCACAAAACACTCAGACTGTATTCCTCTTTTATATGAATAAAGAGATTCAGATTGCCATCACTCTCTTACACAGCACCTTTAGGGAGGAGAAAGTCATCAGAAAAAATACAAATTTATTAACTTCACCTTTATATTGTTCAATTTGAATCAATAAAAGTAGGTATGGGATAATATATAAGCCCATTTGTTATAAACTTTGGCCTTGATTTTTATCTGCTGTTCTTATGATAATAAATAATGAGTTCAGGGAAAAGTACCAGCATCATGTAATTTGCCAGGATATACACACTGTTTTTCTTTTCCTGTGATTCCAGATGCTTGGTTTTGATACATATCTAGCCATCTTCCCCGAATTCATTTCTTCAAGCCTAACATGCAAGCCGGTAATTCACCCGTCTCCTACATCTGTAACAGACCAGTCTTTAATTTGTCATTTCCCTGTGCAAGGAGGCAAATAAACTTTTATGCTGTTTCACTTACTCCATCCAAAGAAGGGTGGGAGGCTCCAAGCCAAGGAGTACAGCCAGACTCCTACCAGGATTAGTAGTGCCTTCTTCTTAGACATCACTCCGATAGAGGCCAGGGGTTTTGTGATGACAAAATATCTGTCCAGGGCAATCACCGTCAAAGTGATCATTGATGTAATGCCAAAAAGAGCTCCGCAGAAGGCATACAGTTCACAGCCTTTCAATGAAGATGACAGATGTAGCAGTGAAATTAATAAACCCATGCTAATTAAGAAACCATTTCTGAGAGAATTCAAGTCTGGGCTCCCTATTGACTAGTGTTTTGTGGAATTCTTGAAGTGTTGGAGATATAGTTTTCCAGCAGTTGTAACTCTATTTCAAAGCTACTGCTTATCTTGCTAACTACACAATCAGTAGAGATAAACTTTAAAGATTTTACTTGCTCATATTTCTGGAGACTGTAATGCTTTAGATATTTTCACTCACTGCCTTCTAATGTTTTTGGCAGGAACATTTAATCAGTCCCATTGCCTGTGGTCGCATGGTTTAACTACAGTTCTACAACAGTTCCCCTAGAAAAATCTATTTTGCTTAACTATGTCTATTTTGATACCGTGAAGTTATTTGTATCTAAATGTCACCATAACTGGAGTAAATATTCAGACTACAATACATTCATTCATTTACAATTTACATTGTATGTGGTTTGGGGCAGGGAACAGGGTTTACTTCTAGTTGCTGATGAAGCTTTTGGTCAGATATTCTAGTCACTGTTGTTTTATAGCAGTGGCCAGATATATTCTATAAATCATTCTATAAATCTTGTCCCTGACAAGAAGATTTGCTGAATGCAGAGAAAATGTTCAGTTAATATTTTGTTTTGAAAACTCACTTTTGCAAGGCTTTCTGGTGAAATTCCCCGAGCAAGTTACCTAGGACAGCTATTAAAATCCTTTGCTATAAAATTCTGCCAGCAACTAAATTGTGAGATTTCTGGAAAAGAATGCTGGCAATAAGGGGCTAGCCACATTGCCAGTGTCTCCTTTTTATCTCATAAATATAATTTTCCTCTCCTTGGTGGGAATGTATTTGTTGTTCCCACACAAAAATAGTTCAAAGAAAGCTATCAAGGCTGCAAAAATGAAGTACCTGAGGACTAGGGAATATGGATTAACTACTGTTAGCATAAGAATATATTCAGCAGTTTCTTAGAAATGGTGTATACAGACCTTTCTCACCAAAAATCCAGCGTTTGTGGAGGCAATTGGTAAAAAAAATTGGAGACTGTGTTATGGACATCAGAAAGTCACTGATAGCCAGATTCACGATAAATATGTTGGCTGGTGTTTGAAGGCTCCTACTCCTAGGAAGGAAGGATGAGAATGAATGTTGCTGAACTTAATTATGTTGTTACTGTTTTCCGCAAGCCCTGGCAGCCCCGCAGATATCAAGGCAGGCTGCATAACCAGCATAACCATTTCCCTGCAGAGGTAGCACAAGCAAGGCTCAGTTTTATACACTTATATTCCTGTGTGTTTTAGAGGGTTGTTTTGATAACCAGCTCAGTGAGGGGGATAGACCACATTGTTCCTAAAATATCCTGACCCAGTGCACTGCATGTCCATGACTAACAGGAAATTAAAGTTGATGTACTCGATGGATTTGCTGGATCTGGGTCATGCTGAGCTGAGGGGGAGGGAAGGGGACTTTTCCACTGCTGACAAGATCAGCAGTAACTTCCAAATAGCGGGATTAAACAAACTCACTGTGTAACACATCAAGCATTTTGTTTTATATTAATTCTTCCCCACAGCACTCATTTTGCTGGACTCTGAAAAGAGCAATAGTGTATCCTGCCTGCCTGTATTATTCACAGTGGTGCAGTACACATGTGCTTAAAAGGGCATACATAACATAGAAGCTCACCTAAGAGCTCCTCACTCTGGGGCTCAGTGTAGTTTTTTAGTGCCTTTCTCAAATTTTCATCCTGACATGCAATTGGAAAATCTTCAAATAAATGGTGGGTTCTTTGCACTGAAGCATAATCAGTCACTAGATCTGTTATCCTTTAGTGTCAATTTAGGCGCAAGGAGGTAGAAGTAATAGATGCCTAAGGGGGTGGATATATTTGTTAGTTAGTCTACAGAGCGACTGAACATAATTCTGTTTTAGGAGCTGACTGTCTCTGAGAGTTTTGCCAATATTAAAGGCACTTTTGGTGCACTATTGGCTTTGCAATGGGTATCTCTTCTTGTCCTCATAACATCCTCAAACCAAACCAGACCATTTCTCCTCTGCCCTCCACTAAACTGCTGCTGTTGAGACTGGATTCCCAGCTTGGGAACAGCTGGAGAACTGAATTAACTCATGGACTTTGTCCCTCTCATGCGCGGGTGGCCCGTGTGCCCTCACCCCTTCTGCCCTGAGAGCTGACTCGCTCCCACCCCACCGTTGCTACGTGCTCAGGGGGTGCATGCTGTTTTCTGATACAACCCTAGCAGAAAATGGGAGATCGCCTGGAAAAACTTGCCACTATCTCACCCTTCAAAATCTACTGTTTAATTCACCAGATAAAATACAGTCTCTGGACCGAGATTAGTTTGGTCCACTTTGCAGTAATTTAAGCTGAAACTGTAAAAAATATCGTAGAACTGTGATTATTTGGATTTATTACTATAGAGACTGAAGACCAATCAAAAAGCAGGTCCTCTCTGGCCTAGACATCCTGTCAGTGATTTCTGCCCCCGTGCAACAGAACAAAAACTAAATGAGTGAATAGGAACGGTACAAATATCACCTTGTGGTCAGACAGCAGATTTCTTTTGGACAGAATAGTTTGGATGTGGCTTTGGTTAACAGCTAAGCAAAGAGCTAGTAAATGTGATGGAAGTTACAAGGACAGAGAGGGACAGAGCAAAGAAGTGATAGGATGAAGGAAATGTGAGATGGAAAATAATGTAGAAGATTCATGTAGAAGAGGCAGGAGCAAAACACATGAGTACTGAAACAGTGTCCAAAGGAAGAGCTACCTGCAGAAAGTGTAGATGACCAAGAAATTGCCCAGAGTCCCAGTGATTCCCACGGCAAGAATGACGCCTCCAATTGTGTAATGGGCATGGTCTGGGACATCCACTGTCGGAAAGGCCTGGGGCACGTCCTGTGCGGTCATCTTCTACAGAGTGAGGAAGAATTCACAGCGATGCGTCAGACGTGGCCAAGAAAGCTGGCACATACTTCTTCTCTGGAAGAGGAAGGGACAAGAACGGCAAAAAACAGCAAACAAAAAAGGTCAGAATAAGCAAATTGCTTTCAAATTACATTTATTGTTCATCATCTTCTGAGAATAAATATGCCATCAGCAGTGCAAAGGCCAGGGTATTTTAGATGTTTACCGTTGCTTAGCCATTCAGTGAAGAAAAGCAATCTATTTTCAGTGAAGAGAAACAGAATATGGAAGAGCAAGAGACAGAGGGATCCTTTCTGTTGCATCTGACCTCAAGTAATTCAGTCTTTGACAGCAAGTAAATTTTCTGCAATTTTCATTTCATGAAAATTTCTATACTTGTGATTTCTGTAGTCTTCTCACGTCACTAGTACACTGCTCACATGAAATAGAAATGATTTTCTATGGATAGACATGTATTTAATTTGTTAGTAGTATGGCTGTTTTGTTTCTTGCACTGAATAACTGAATTGTTAGCTACCCTCAAGACTTAGCTACCACAAGGCTGGCAACATTAAGCATGTCTTAAAAACTGAATTAAAGATTAGAAAAACTAAAACACAGAAACTTTTATGAAACAGTTAGTGTCAGGTTTACATGCAAGTTCTGAGCAGACATTTTTCTCTCTGTGAAGTTCGTGTTGAAAATATTTGTGTCTTACTAATGAGCTGTAGCAAAATTCAGCAGACTGTTCTGATTATAATAACAGTTTAAATAATAATAGTTTTATAACTTTTCTTTTAGCAAGAAGCAACAAAGACTTTTTAAGTCAAGTGCTGCTAACTTAGTTGTAAAGCAAACAAAAAGGTTACACCCAGGATGGCCTGACAGGAATGAAAGGGGGCACAGGAACAGCAGTGTGAACTGTCACCATTCTGCTGCCTGTTAATATAAAGTAAGGCAAGGAGAATTAGACACTCACCTGTGCGTAACTGTTGCCGTCTGACACATGTCCTGGCACGAGCTCCAAGCAGCTAATGTCGTGAGAAACACCAAACCCCATCCTTGCTCACCTGACCAGCCAAATCTCACCTCTTTTCCTAGCTTGACCGTCTCCTCAGGGCGGCAGTCGCTCAGGAACAGCCACGACTATTGCTCATTGGACAAACCCACAGGCTGCTGATGTGGCACTCCATGCACTGAGCTGCCACAATTGCGCCAGGGCTGAGCAAAGCCCAGCAGGTACCATGGATCCTTTGCAGCCTGTTCACTGGGAATACTGTGAGCCTGACTCGTGGCCTAGGATCCAGGACAAGGAGAATGCCCGTGTCAAGGTCTATGCCTTCACGCTGTGAAGACGGCTCTATGCTTTCCCATCACCAGTATCGGCAGATTGTGCTATAGCTATCATCTGCACCCATTCCTGTGAGAAGGAAGGTTGCTGGTAGGAAATGAAGAAAGATTTGAAGTTTTCCCATTAGGCTACAGTTGTATTGATAGCTTCATCTCACCATCTGTCACTAGCTGCTAAGGTGAAACTCAGAAGTGCCGTTGATAACAGCCCAGTTAACAAAGGTCATGGATATTTTCGGACAACAGAGGCAGACACTGATTCTGAGTAAATCCGTAAGATTGAAGTAAAGTTAAGAGACAGTATTTAAAACCAATGTGCCAGAATGAGTGGACCCCAGGAAAGTTTGGGATTCTAGAATAGTCTGCTACTTCTGTCGTGGGGATGGGCCTGCAGCCATCCTCAACAGCAATGCCTCCTTGGCTTCTGCATTAGCAGGGATGAAATGCCAGACAGAGAGTCCAACCTTAGGGAAAATGGAACTGTGGTAGTTGTTATAATTGGAGCAAAGTGTTGTTATTGCATGAAGGCTGATATGCCAACTGAATGGCTGAGTCATGAAATTTGTTGTTCAGGTTCCTTCAGCAAGTTTAAGTTGGCCAGATGTCCTAAACAGCAGTGGCATTTTGACTAAGTAGAAACTGTTCTCCTTAACTGGCTGCCAGTACTACAACCTAAAATCCCATAGAAGGGTAGCGACAGCCTGAGATAAAATGGTTTAAAGAAATTACATCAGTTGATTTTTTTGTTTGCATGTTTTATGTCCTTGTGGCTGGAGGATTTTTTTTTAACTGCTGCTTTACAGAGAGTTAATCATGATTATTACCAGAATGGAGATTTCTAATGTTTTTGGAGTATCTTTTAGCTATCCCTTTAAAGAGAACTGGATCAAAGTAATGAAGGAACTAAAGGAGCTTGTTCTGGCTACCAAGAACACATTAAAAATTGATGTAGTTGGATTTATATTTGTGTAAGACTGAGAACAAAAGAATTAGAAAGATAAATACAAATAGAGAAAGCACAATGGCAGTAAAGGTTACTGAAGGGACAGTAGAAGAGTAAAGGTACTTCTTCAGGAAAAAGTTCAGGGTCAACAGAAAAGTCAAGTGTTGAAAACAAGCGATAATATTGGAGCAGTTATAGGGCATAAATAATGAAAACAGATGGGAAGAGAAAAGGTCTAACAAAGAAGAATAGATACCCCTTTTAGTGTGGACTTCTGTAAGCCTGAGATTTTCACCACAGCATCCAGTAGAGGACCATAAAATAATTTGCAGTTTTAATCCCTGATAGACAAATCCTTCTGATTTTTTAGTTATTTACTCCATAGTGTGACCAAATCTGCTGGGTAGCTGTGTTTTGTTACAGAGCTCAGGAGGTGCCACACGATGCAGACGAGCTGGGGGAACCCCTGTCTGCCCTTCACTGGGACGGGCTTTTCTTCAGAGCTGCAAAACCAGCGTAATGAGCAGCTGCCCAGGAATTTCCTTTTCAACAGAGTCTTAGGAGTTCGTTGGAACCCTAAAATAGATTTATTATCCCTTTGAAATGATAATCTTAATGGAGGATATTTTTATTATCCAAATACACATGTAATCCTTTTCTAAATCCTACTTTGTTTTTTGTGGGGTCTTTTTTTTTTTTTCTTTTTTTTTTGCCCGAGTCATTGACAAGTTAGGGAGGCTGTTCCACATTAGCACATTAGTCCTTCCAGTAGGTTTAAGTGTGTCCTGGGGAAACACCAGAAAAGGAAGGAAATAAGAAGAATTTAGTTCATAGTCTGCCTTCTTCAAATACTCATAGTTTTGAGGAGGTTTGGACCAAGCAAGATAGGCTTGCTTCTACTAAGTGAAATATAACGTGGGTTAAACTGGAATGGATGCCAGACTGGAGGATAGCACCATAGTGTCAAAGAACAAAGATTTCTTCTGCAAGGAATAAGTATTTATTGCTTATAGAAGAAGAGCTTAACAGAACTAAGCATGTTTTTAGTTATCTGGTCAACTTCCCTGAGACTTACAAACTTACGCTGCTTTTTCGCAGGTAGGAGAGAAATTCTTGCTAGTGAGGTGAGTGCATGTAGCTGCTGCTCTGCTTCCTTCGTGTGCTCATGTCTGTACAGCTGTGCCAAGGCAAGGTGACAGCAGAGAAGGGCTAAGTGTCTTTCAGCCCCAGAGAACCCTGGACAGGGCCCTGAAGTTAGCAAGTAAATTGGTCTTGCAGGTTTGGATAAAAATCACTTATTACAGAAATATTTGTCCAGGTTAGAATAAGTCTAGGCCATATATATAACCCAGGAATCCTTGACATGCATCTATTCTATCTTGAGAATGTGTTTCTTACATACCTTTTTCCTAAAGAGATTTTTTTAAATTTATTTCCAAATCACTTGTAAAAAAAAAATAAAACGAAACGAGCTCACTTTTAAATAAGTTCTAGTAGAAAGGAAATCCTCTTTGGGAGTTCTAGTTCTCCACCTCGTTACATGATAATAATGTTTACATTAACATCTAAAACATACAGTACAACTATTACTGAGAAAAGACAGTCTGCTCCTTTTCAGATCGAGAGAAAAAAAATCTTACCATTTAGTTATCTTCTGCAGATTTCACATGGTGAACTCTGAGAGTGATGATGACGGGAGCTTGTAAATATCTATGTACTATGTACTGTATAGCCCACCCCTCACATTATCCCATTGGCAAGAGCTTAAGGTATAAATTAAACCTTGCCTTATAAGGAAATTATAAATCTTCATGAGATTGTTTCAGGATTTTAAAATGTTTCAGAACTGCTTCTGGTTGGCTATGTGACAGTGAAGAGTAACAAAAAAAGACTAGGACAAGAATACTTTTCAGTTACTTGTAACTGGATACTAGATGGATATGTATCTTAATTGAGGTTAAAAAGACAAGAAAAGGGAAATAGAGACTGATAGAGACTGCTGTATTATATCGTAGGGATTCACCTGGGTTTCAAAGAGCAGTCACTGTTTTTGCAGAAGGACTGGTTCAAGCCAAAAGCATCACAAGCTTTGGCAGCCCCACTGTGACTTCAGCCATGTGGCTCGTTTTC